ATACAGCCTTTTGCAAAAATTATGAGAATTGTCTAAATATCTAAATATCATAATATCCATATCCATATATTGTCCGGAACACGCGGGTTTGCTAGAATAATTCATTGTTGACATCGAGAAAATGTTCAGAACTACGGATAAGTCTGTCGCCAAAAAAAAACTAAACTACAAAGACAAGGGACTGAGGGCATCGCGCGGGATTACCCATCATGCACTTGATATTATGATATTTAGATATTTCAACAATTCTCATAATTTTTGCAAAAGGCTGTACCTAACAAGTTAATGGCTTAAAGTTTTGTTTTTGGCACTTTAGAGCATCAAAATGACAAGAAAGAAGGAGGCTTAGCACACAACTTAGTTTAGGAACGGTAGTTACACCTTTTTTAAAACCAAAATTTGTGAAAAAAGGTGTTTTTATGCGATAAAAGTATGATATTTTTGACTAAACAGGCGAGCGCGCGCTGGCGACTTGAAAAACCGACTTGAAAACAATGCGCGCTCGCGTCATTTTCAGCCAATCACGAATCGAGAAATAACGCATTCCTCCAGAGTCTCTCACGCATTGATATCCGCTGGATGGCAAAAGTGCGGGCTCTGGGTACGAGATTGAATGCAAACTGACTGTATGAATCTGAGATGAAGTCAAATGCATCTGAAGTCAACACCGAAACTCAAAACTTGTCAAAGAGATCAATTAATCATTGTTGGGAAGAAAGCCGCCGCCATATTGGAGTTTATACCTCGCAATAGACTCAAAAGAAATTGTTCATTTTCTTATCAGTATTAAAAACCTGTTAAAACATTCCTTGCAGTGAGTATTTGGTTTCTTATATTTATACTTATGATACACAGTACAAGGGCGCTAGAACTGAAATTATGACTTATAAGATCCAAAAATTGCTTAATTTATCCAACATAAGATAGTCGATAATAAATTGTAAAGTTTTACTTATCTGAAATATACACTGAAATGTCCTCTTAGACACTAAAAAGCACTTGATTTTACGAAATTCATTCAAATGATCGTTACTCAAGCGGTTGTTGCTGGATTTATTACCGCTGTCCTTGTTGTACCAGCCACTGCTGTCTCGCCAGGAACGTTATAAATTAACCGGATTAAAATCACTTTGCCCTGGTCGAACACAGGGGCAGGCAATAACTAGCGGCCCCTTTGACCACTCGTCTGACTCACTAATCGGATTAAGTTGACAGGACCTAGGGACACTGATGACAGATTTCGTCGGGTTTCGAATCGAAAGTCATCTAAAAGTTGAGCGAAGCGCTCGTCAATAATTTTTGTTACATATGAAACTAAAATGTGAGTGTGTTGAATTCGTGTTTAAAAACGTTGAATTGAGAAATAGAAACAGTACATTTTAAAGCTTGTTATGCAGCATTATATTCAAAGTGTCAGTCGCATAAACTTGTTTGTTAACGGTGCTTTACGACTAACATTTAGCTTTCATTTCGGTTTCTTCCAAATGGACTTGAACTTAGATTTCGGCCAGGCACTTTGTCCATTTAAATGGCGATAGTTTTGACCATCCTCAAGACGAGAGCGTTTTAGTTCAAATCCCGACCTCTGACGAGGTCACATTCGGGCCTACGAAGACTCGCTCGGCCAGGACTAATCTGTCATCAGTGTCCCTAGGTCCTGTCAACTTAATCCGATAGTGACAGGGATGCCAACCCCCGAGCTTTTCAAATCTTGAGATACGAAAATGATGACGTCACGCCGGAAATGACGTTTCATAAGATTATCGATGACGTCATCGCATTTATCAAATTTTGTTATAATTAGTGATTTGATTGGATGTATCTTAACCAATCATATTATAGATTGTATTGTGCAATTGAAAATGACCGCGGATGGCGTGCAGTGTTATTGTTATCAGAAGACTGGGATTTTTTTATTTATTTTTGATTTTTGATTTTTGACACAGATATGCAAGGTAAATTAAGTTCTAATAGATGAAATTAAAGAGATATTTCAAAATACTGATATATGAATCGTCATTATCCGGGAGATTTAGCGGTAAAATCTTGAGACCGGGAGAAACGGTCGAAAATCTTGAGACTCCCGGATTATTCGGGAGAGTTGGCATCCCTGAGTGAGTCAGACGAGTGGTCAAAGGGGCCGCTAGTTATTGCCTGCCCCTGTCTCTTTTGGTGTTCGGCCAGGGCAAAGTGATTTTAATCCGGTTAATTTATAACGTTCCTGGCGAGACAGCAGTGGCTGGTACAACAAGGACAGCGGTAATAAATTCAGCAACAACCGCTTGAGTAACGATCATTTGGATGAATTTCGTAAAATCAAGTGCTTTTTAGTGTCTAAGAGGACATTTCAGTGTATATTTCAGATAAGTAAAACTTTACAATTTATTATCGACTATCTTATGTTGGATAAATTAAGCAATTTTTGGATCTTATAAGTCATAATTTCAGTTCTAGCGCCCTTG